GGGCATAGTTGGATCAGAACCAGTTCTTTCCAAGAACCATTTTTTCAATGCAATTTTTAAAATCTTTTTCAGAAATTCAATAGAATACAATAGACGGAGGACGAAGCATTTTAGGTAACATAAATCCATAGCTTTGGGTATGTAAAACCAAACTGTTCAACAGTTTAAAATAAATCCATTAGGAATGACCTCCTGCACAAGTCTTAGTTCACCACTGGAACCTGTTTGGTAGAAAACCTTAAATGTGTCAACTTTTGCCATTWGCAGTAAATGCAAGCACAGCCCTGCAGCAAGTCAACAGCTATCTCATCTCTGCCCAGTTTTTTTCTATATTCAAATGTAATGAAATATTACCAATGTCCTCATGTGCACAATAAAAGAAAAATATTTTTAGTTTCAGATTCTGTCATACTGAGCCTTAATTCCTATTTCAGTAGACCACCTCCCCAACTTTGGTTTTTGTCTTTAACCTCATTAACCTCATTGGTCAACAAGCAAGAGATGGCAGTAAACAGAATAAGGGAGACAGAGCTTCTGTGGAGATCGGGATGTAGGAATCATCTGAAAGATAAACTATAGTTCTTGTTGACAGTGAGGCTGGAAACAGGACGGTGGTCTGGGTGGGACATTCTGCTGGATGGACGTCACCAAGAACAGATGGTTTTGTTTACCAGCACTTTCAGCACTCTGTTGGGGAAGCRTTTTACAGCCAAGCTTCAGACTTGGGTGTTTTGCATAAAGCAGTGAGGACCAGATTTTAATCAGACAACGCATCAGATAAGAGGAATGTGGTGGGCGGATCAAGCTGCTACAAACATCTCAGAAATTTACTAAATTCATTAATCATTGTCTCCACAGCTGGTCTGTCTACAGCGCCAAAACTCCGTGTTTTAACTGTTATTTTGGGTGTAACAGAGACCTTCTGTGAGGCAGAATAAAGAGGCCACTGTGAGAAAGCTCACATTTATACAGGGTGTATCATAGTTATGTGATTCAGTGGAATCAGTTATTTTCACTTTCGATTTCCGTTGACAGTTTGATTTGTACTGAAAAAGGTTTTGCCCACAGGCAGTTTTTAGCAAAGACAGACTCAAAGAGGTGTTCAATCCTGTTCAAAGAATCAAGCAATAACGAATAAAATCTTGAAAASATTGGAGATTTTACTGTCTTATCATTCTTCCTCAAACTCCGCGAGGAAAAGGTTACGCAAGTCATATAACTTACAGGATCTCAGTGCAGCAAAAGGTGCTGTTATTTACAAAGTTTGATCAAAACAGCTACAAAGTCTTATTATATCTCTACAAGCCCCTCTTTCACCCCTTTTCTGTGGTGTGCTTCAGATCAACCTGTTTTGAGGCCGTCTCTTTAAAACCAAGCGAGGCGCTTCACGTCTCGCACCCCCCTCCAGCTTCCAGACCAGTCTGTTGTACTTTGATAGAAGAGTTTATGACTAGATAGTGGCACAGAAATGTTTTATTTAATAATTAATTAAAATATGTCAACAACAGACTTGTCCATCCAGCCTTACATGTTGGAGCCAGAGTCCGACCCAGAGCCAGAGGAGAATGAGGAAGAGCAATTTGTAGCTAGTAAGTCCAGACCTTACTTGGCAGTTCTGTCGCAAATAGTTCAGAAAACCTCATAGAAAATAGAGAACTGATTAGACTGAAAATCTCAAACAGAATATACAGACATCTACGCAGCACCGGGAAAAACTAAATTCAATATTTTTGCTCCTGGAGACGATAAGTACACAACAAAATGTATTTAATGTCTAACAAGTGGATTCTGCATTTGTCCAGTATGAACAAATAGGTAAACAGCAATCAATTGTGACAGAAAGTTTAAAGGTAATCAGTAAGATCATCTTATGTTACAAAGTAACAGAGCTGTAGTTGCTGTAGAAAAACCTCATAAAACCAAAACATACACCAAGTCCATGCTTGAAGTCATACAAAAGGCTGTTAATTTAGTCGAGATGTAGAAAGTTCCTGTATTTTTTTCATGGCTACAGTGACCTCTAGTGGTTGTTGTTGTATAAGACATGCAGAAAGTAACAAAAAGCCTTGAGGAAAAGACGGGTAGGGTAGAATTGGCTGACATTATTTGTGTTCATTCTTGAATGAAAAATGACTGAAAATTAATTTAAAAAATGAATCATCTCTATGAATAAATATTTCTGTCTGTGTGGAGCAGTTCATCTGTCAGCATAGTTGAATAAAGCATTTTGTTGCAAATTAATTCTCATCACTGCAGTTCTATTCATCCATCTATCACCAGGAGTGTGCATTTTACACTCTGTGGCTGAGTGATTACCTGTGACTTTTCTCTTTTCTGTGCAGCAGCAGAGATATATTTGCATCAACAGAATATGGTTAGTTAAGAGAAGGGTCTTATCATTCCTACAACCTCAGTTCCAATGAAGTTGAGATGCTGTGTAAAACAAATAAAAGAATACTGTGATTTGCAAATTCTTTTCAATCTATATTCAACTAAATACACTATAAAGACCAGATATTCGATGTTCAAACAGATAAACTTTTTTAGTTTTTTGCAAATATTCACTCATTTGGAAATTAGTTGAAAATTGAATATAAGTTGAAAAGGATTTACACATCATCGTACCAATTTTTATTTATGTTTTACACAACATCCCCACTTCATTGGAACTGGGGTTGTAAGACAACTATATTTTTGTGAGATCCTTCATCATTCAGCAGTGCTTTTATTATTATTGCACTGTTAATAGTGAAAAGAAACACACACCTGGACAGTCCACAGGTTTCATGCAGGTTTCAGTAAGTTAAATTTAAGACCTTTTAAGATCAAATCGACGCATTAACAGAAACACTCAAATTGTCCCAGAAATTTTATAATAGAAACCTTTTATTGCTATCAATTTAGTTATTAAAAAATATTTAATTTTAATACAAGAACACTAAATTATTTGAATGAAACGGTCATATCTGACTGCTGTGAACTGGTTCCAACCGAGTGAAAAAAATCACTGATATCAAGTCAAGTCTCAGTGAAAATATACTTTCCCATGTTTAAGCAACAAGCAGTGGACATGACTGAACTTCTGTTTTTKTGAGCAGGTAAATAAGCCACTTTATGTGGGGGTAGGGTTGGGCATTATCATATCTTGTGTGATTAATCGTCAGAAAAACATTAATCGATTAATTTTTGGCACTTGACAATTAATACGATTAACGCCAACAGGTAGAATCCACTCGGTGCTCCTCCCTGCTTCAAATATGACGAATATTWAAAAAAAGTTCTGTAACTTATTTATCTATCAACACAATTTAAATTTTGATGTATAGCCTGAAGTCTGTAATTTTGACACAATTTGGAACAGATTTTTATGAAGAGCAAATCGTTCCCACTAAATTGGTCATGTGATTATGAAGTAAGTGTCCAGGGACTCCAGGGGATTAATCGTCAAATTAATCGTTATCGGCTAAATACCACAATTAATCGTGATTTATTTTTTTGCCAATAWTGCCCAACCCTATGTGGGGGGTTGTAGCGGCAAAGAGGTCAAAATCATGGAAGTAAACTGTGCCGTTTTGGCCTGCAGTTATCGTGGGATTTGTAGTTTAATCATGACCAGTAGCAAACTTAGCATCATGAAGACAGATTGTGTCAACCTCTGATTACGACTCTTAACCTTCTTTATTTATGCAGTCAACGGTTCTCAGGAATGATCAAAAGTAGAAAAAAATTAAGACATGTCAAAATTAATTTTAAGACTTTGGTTGAAAATCTGGGCATTTTTAAGACTTTTTTAGGCCTAAAATTTAGATTTTCAAATTTTAGCCTTTTTTAGACTTTTTAAGACCCAGCATGAACCCTGAGTCCACTTAGGGGATGTTGAAACTTTGTTACAAACATTCCCTAAACTTTAAAACATAAAAAAAACCACTTTCTGCAACAAAGAGTTACCTCCTTCGTGTTGTCACTTGCCAGTGYGTGGGCCAGGTGGGCGCTGAAGGTACTCTTCCCCACTCCTCCTTTTCCTGACAACACMAGGATCTTGTGTTTGACCACTGATAGCTTTTCACCTATTTCTGCAATAGCTGAGATGAGACAGAAAGAGGAGATGAAGGATGACCAGTTTAAGGTMCATTACATGTAGTTAATAATATTATTATTATATATGTTCTGATGAAGGTTTTACCAGGGTCAGGGGCCTTTGTGGCTCCAGAGGCACACAGCTGCTGGTTGGGGCAGCCCTGGCATGATGCAGACTTTCCTGCTTGTTCACTTGCAGTACCTGGGCAGTCTGAAACAATCAAGTGCAACAATTAGAGTGCATGTTAGCATTATCAAACATCTCAGCTCTAAGCTTTGCAACTGGCTTGCCGGGATTTTTTTTTCTGAACAATTTGAAATGTTAAGTCAGGGATATTACGTTTTCTTAAACTTAGAAGCAGATTATACGCAGATGCTAGAAAAATTATTTAAAGTTATAGAAGTATGCCCATAGCAAATAGTTTGTATAACAAACACAAAACAAATAGATTGTGAATGTTGAGGTCATCATGACTCAGCATTTTCTTCAGCGAGTAATGAAACAATTCACCACACAACACTCAGCTTTTTCTTCTTCAGTTTAGTATCAAAATCTTTCAAACGTTACTTAATAAACTATTCATTTTACTGCAGCATTGAAAGCATTGTCTCGAATAATATCAAAGCATCCCATCAGTCAACAGAAATATACGAATTATTTTCACATATGCCGATGCTGTGTCTCTTTGTTGAACTTTTTTCWGTTATAAACACAACTTTTATGCCTTTATCGTTATGTTCAATAGACGTTACTGAGTCACTGACTCAAGTTTGTTACAACATGGAAACAACCTCATGATGGTAACATCTCTGAGCCGAAAATAAAGCAACAACATGACGACATTCTTCTAAAAAATAACAAAATATACTCTAGTGAATTAAAATTATATGACACGCTAAACAGAAAGTTGACAATACACTCGTAATGAGCAAAATTCCTTAAAAATATATGTTTTAAAACTCACGTTCTGGTGCATTTTCTGGTACATCCGCCATCTTTGTTTGTTTGGTGTCTCATTCATAATCCTCCCATCCAAAGGTTCCGCTGTGAAACTTTATTTATTTTCCGATTTGTTTATCACTCATACATCATAGTCGTCAAAAATAAGCCTAAAACAACTTTGGCTAAAATTCAAATAAATACTCGTTTGCTACAAAACTAAAGCCAGCACATCCCTCATGTCCCCTTGCAGGCTCTGTGAGAAACAAATAGTTGTTTAACAATAAAACAAATAAATAAATAAACAAACAAATAAATAAATAAATTAACAAATAAATAAATAAATAAAACATCTCATATATACTGTATTTGGTGTAAATATTTGATTATGTGGACTCCTATGGTCATTAACATGTCCAATAGGGGGTGCTGTTATTCAGGTTTACCATAAAAATTAGCCAAAAATAATAGAGTATTTACGACTTTTTTGCTAGCTTAGAATACTAATATGTAGTCACTGAGTAGATTCTAACTATTGAGATAAGCATGATGAAATCAAATTTTCTCAGAATGCTGCAATTATTCAATATCAGTTTCATTGAAAGCTTGTTATAAAGAATTATATGATGTGTCGTCACTGTTGGTTGTTTATTGTTGAACATTTTTTGTCATTTGTTAGTTGGCAAAATTCCTCATGAACCAGTAGATGGATTTTTTTGACATTCTCAGAAAGTAATCATTGGATATTCYACAACTCATTAACCTTTAGGGCAATTTGCATTTTGTGTTACTGTATGTCCATTTGTATGCGTATACACGTTGATTAAATAAAGAAAATTGCACTATTTTATGCATGTATATTTCTCACAGTGAAGTTAGGTAGTTGGTGAGTCTGTGTCTCATTGTCTCTGTGTGTTTATATATGTCTGTCCTCACCCCCTCCAGCTGTTTGAACAGTCGAGACYGTGTAATGTGATATGTTCTTTGTGCGACTGTCAAACGTATTCACACAAAGCAGCTTTGCTCTTTGCTCTCCCACGCTTTAAAACCTGTCATCAACAAATTAGATTTTCAGAACACAACCTAATAAAATGTTAATCTTTTGTCTGGACACTGATTTGTTTTTTACACAGATGCATTTTATTCAAGAAGTCAGGAATAATATTGATTATTAAGAAAATGATAAAATCTTGAAGCTGTAAGTGTGTGAAAACATAGGATGTGGTTCTGTTGTATGAGATGAAACTGAATTTGAATGTGAAATGTTTCATTTGCCCTGCTTTTCCACACCTTTAAATAAAAAAAAACATAAAAACTTTAACAATCAATGAAATTTGAGATAAAATATGTTGGGATCTAATTGTTACACACAGTATTTGCCTCCTTTTGTTACCTTTATAGTTATAATAACAGAAGAATACCACAAATGTGTGCTTTTGAAAATTTTGGAGAGTTTGTTTTACATAAAAACTTTTTTATAGCAACAATTATTCTATAGGACCAAACCCTGTGATCAACTAAAAAAATGTGAAAAAAATACAAACAAGTATTTATTTTCTCATTTGTGTCTGTGAATTGTCACAAAAATGTCGTGGTTTGATGTTGTTGTGTTTTATTCAAATGTTTATGCATTATTTGGAATGCTGTTTTCTGAAGGGTAGTGTTTTTAATTTGCTGGTGTCTCTCAGACAAACAAGATTTCCCATCAATCAAAATGTCAGCAGTACATTTGGTGCCCCGCTTCCCTGAACCACATGTTTAAAAGTTTTTTTTTAGTAAAATGCTGAACACATGTATTTTCCACTGTGTGAATGATAGAATATGGTTGATGGTACTGTATGTAGATTACTTTTAATCTGTCCTGTTTACTTTCTGTTGAGCTTTGAATGACGGTTTWTGTGTGTCACATAAACTGATTAGAAGTAAATAATGGACTGGTGCAAACATATTGAAATAATGAATAATTTAGAGGACTAAAACAACCCAATAGACACTCACTGGCAACAAAGTTCTGCAAGCAGAAGGATTAGTTTGACTTGGACACACATGCAGAGCAGTGACTGGTWTGTAAAAGACTTGATTTGCAAGAAACCATCATGTAGAGGATGACCACCAGAGGGCATAGGTGGTGACATGAGTGCAGAGGTCTATAAAGTACTTTAAAAAAATAACTACGTAAGTAAAAGTAAAATTACATGAACAGAAAATGACTTTAGTAAAAATTTATTTCATTGATGAAAAAACTACTCAAGTAAAAATCATAAAACTGTTCACAAAAATCGGGAAAGTAAAAGTAAAAGTGCTTTCACACGCTCTCTAAAAAATATATTGTTGAGTTTACTGAACCAAACTGGTTCCACTAAGCCAGGTTGAGTAAATTGAACAATACATATATATTCTTTGCTCAGTTTACTCAACTAATCTTAGTGGAGCCAGTTGACATGACTTTGTTGAGTAAATTCAACACTTCATTTTTTTAGAGCGCAGAAACATTTTCTTTCATGATGAGTTTGAGCATATGAAATTTTTAACAAGTAACTAGGTGTTACATTTTAAAGTAAAGAAGTAAAATTACCATTTTTTAGCTTTAAAATGTAACGAAATAAAAAGATAATTGGTAAAATTACAAATCCTCAAAAAAAACTAACTTACGTACTGTAACGAAGTAAATGTACTTAGTTACTATAAAMCTCTGCATGAGTTGAATTATAGTGTTATCAGGTAGTTGCAGGAGCAACCGACAGCTAAAACAGTGAGTAGACATCAGCAGATGGATAAAAATGCCTTGTAAACACATTAGAGGGCATTACTAGACAGCATTTGATAGTGTGTCTACATTAGACCAGGACTAATGGATTTAAAAACTCTTTTATCCATTTATCCCTTAACAAACATTTGTGATCTTTTTTTGTGTTTGTGTATGAATGTTTTGGCTTTATGTCTATTGATAGTGCAACAAATTAGCAATTGGGGATAATAAAGTTTCTCGAACTTGTACTTGTAGTCGTATCGTGTAATTGCCCCTCATGTTGAGTGTACAGATGTAACAGTGGCCTGGTGTTGGAATCCATGGATACTGTGGGGTACCTACACATAATGTGAAGATCCTGGTTGCTCAATACTTAACCACCAGAAGATTGTGGTACCATGTGTCGGGCATTTACAGAACCCCAAGACATCTCTACCTGCTATTTGAACATAAACGTTGGACTTTACAACGCACAGTGTCTCAGTGACTGGCTTCACCTGGGCTATGGGGTCAGCAAGCACAGGCTGACCATCACCATCAGAGTAGTGATGGCTGTGTTTGAAGTGGTAACCAAGAAACAAATGACAAGTGGTGTAATACAGTATTGTGTTCACTATTCCTACCACCACTGTGGATAGGAACTCCTGTGTTTCACCTGGTGCCATAAATGTTGAGTTGCCTCTGGTAGTGATTCAGGGGAACCTGAGGGTACAATGCTATATCACTGACACCGTGTCCACGTTTCTTACCTCTCCTGAGACAGCACCCTGGTACAGTTTTTCAACAAGACAATGCCTGTCAAAAAATGACACAGTTGATCAATAGACTGCATCACGGGGAGGACCTCTCATGGTCAAAGTTAACCAGTCTTTGGTCTGTGGGAAAACTGGAGTACCCATCCAGAATCAACTCAACATTAACAACCCGGTGTTGATAAGTTGGATTTGGAGGACCAAGCTGTGATCTGACTGTGATTACTTCTTCAAATCACCTTTTGTTGCCAGGTCCAAGCAGGTACCACAACCTACTGAGAAGAGGCCTGCAGTGTACTGCCCTGTGGGTGCTTAAGTTTTTTTTGTCAGAAAGTGCAGTTGCGCTTCCATACGGCATGTGCTGCATTTGCGTGATGATACAGGCACATTCTGCCCATTCAGTAAGTAAAGTGTGCACCTACTCACTGAAAATACACTGACTCAGATCCGACTCTGAGCTCAGAGTGGTTAAAAAAAAGGTTAAGCTGAAAACAAAGCCACGCACATGGCCAGCTTTAACACTACGAACACTATGTGAGAATTAGCAGGTCAGCAGAGGGAGTTTTGTGCATGCATGTGTGTGTTAAGTGTTTCACGCAAAAGCAGAGGAAAGAGGAAGCACGCCGTTAGGGAAAGAAATGGGTGTGACCTGAAAATGCAGCTTAGAAGGGCACGGTATGAGTTGACTTCATAAAATATCTGTATGCTGATTTCGAAACCCAGTGAGAAAATCATCAGTCAAATGTATTTTTTTAAGGCAAAACTTTAATAAACTGAACCATGTTTTCCTCTCAGAGTTCTGAGGTGCAGATCTAAAAGTAGAATAACAAAATCAGATTTGATCCACTCCTCACTTGTGCTCCTGTAACCTTGTTAGTTTGGAAATTCTCAGCTGCTGTGTGTCATTGTGGGTCATCTCCTCAAAGAGTATTAAAGCAATTTAATTGCAAGCAGCTGGCATAAACCCACATGCATGTCTATGGCAAAGATTTAAGGATTTATACTAAATATTTTGTTAATTTGAAGTTGCTGAAGAGATGTTTTTTTGTGTGTTTGGTAAATGTTACACACTTCAGGAATTGGAACTGCTGATATTCATGCACAAACAACAACAGAAACACAAAGTACCGCCCACTCTCAAGCACGAATTATGGGCTATGCAAAACAACTCCACACATTCACAAGGAGAGCATTGTGTACATGTGCATGCAGGATTTTTTTTATTTATGTTTTTTCTGTGGCAGAGTGTGGCTACAGATTTCGCAATAGTTCCCAGCCATATTATGCTTCATTTGTACTTGTTTTGTGTTTAATGTTTCAGACTGAAGCAGATTTAAAATGCCTGAAAAGATACATTTCTGGGTTGACAATCAGCTCAATATTGGGTCAGAACATATTCTGACAGCTGTGTGACAGATAATGAAATACTGTGATGATAAAATATTCTCCTGTTTGGCGAGGAACCTTGTCCTTGATGCTGTTAAATGACTTTGTTGATGTGAGGATGCAGACACTTCCTCTGATAAAGAATTTTAAAGACTCATTTGCTTTCTTAACACAAGGATTATCAGAACTATTTTGTACTATTTAACTCAGT